GCTCTGGGACATTGCTTGCATTGGGGCCAAATGCTCTTAATGCTGGTGAGGTATAAGTGAGTAAGCAGTAGAGATTGTGTGAAGTTCTCAGAGGAATGGTATTCTATTTATTTTTGTCATTCTTGGAAAATCAAACTTGGTTTAGATTGGATTAGCTGGAGAGACAGTATCCCTGTCCCCAGTGTTTCCTGCAAAATTCAATTCCTTCCCCTAAATCCTGCCAAGACCTCAAGAAGACCCCATGACTATTCTGTGGTTCTGTGTTCAAGGCCAGGTTGGATGAGGCTTGTGCATCCTGCTCTAGTGGGAGGTGCTCCTCCTCATGGCAGGGAGGTTGGAACCTGATGGTCTTTAAAGTCCCTTCCAACCTTCACCATTCTACGACTTTAAAAGGAAAATGGCTTGTCCAACGTGCCTGGGGTGAGGGAGACAGATCAGGCCTTCAACCCCTGAGTACCAGGTGTCAGGAATCCTTTCTGGACAGGATAAGCCCTTACTTTCCACCCAAGAATGCTTCTGAGCCTTGTTTCTTTTAAAGCCTATGTAAAAAGGTGCCTATTTCGTTCTCCTACTGATGGGTGGAACCTCTCTAAACTGCACAGGGCTCTTACAGCTCCCTGAGGACTCATTGCTCACCTCTGATCCTGAAGAAAGAAAATCTTCTAAAAGGCTGAGCTGAAAGGGACTTCGGATGGATCGTAAAGACAGCAATTTAGTCACAGCAATTAAGAGAAATGCTGCAGACAGGAAATGAACTTGCTGTGTGCCACGTATAAAATGGACAGGAAGAAAAAGGTCTGTTAACAGTGTGGCTGTGCAAGTTTTGAAATGGGCAGGTGTTGACTCCAGGGGGACAAGTGTCCCTCAGTCTTCAGGTGGCACACTGTGAAGAAATGATGGTGTTTCTCCACCTCTGCAAGCAGGAGTTGCCTTTGAGCAGACCTGATCCAGACTTTGTGATGTGGTGATCACCTGGCTTTGCCACCTCTCTTAATTCAAATTAAACAGAGCTTGGGATCTGACTAAGCTCTTTATCTACAGCTTCTTCCCTATGGACACTTGCTTTGACCTGCTGTCTTTTGCTGGCCTGGGTAGGAATGGGTGACTCTGTTTTTGGCAGTTAAGCTTTTAAAGCACAGACCTGTTGGCCCTAACATGGAGTTTCTCTCACCTATCTGGGGTGTCTAAATCAGCAAGGCCTGCCCCAGCCTGTTTGCATCACAGTACATCCTCTTCTCTTCTTTCTGCCTTATCCCAAGTTGGTCTGTGGGTTGTAAGATACCACAACCACAGCTCTGAGCTGATGCAACACATAAACAGTGTAAATGTAGCTGGCTGCAGGTGCTTGGCCCTCCTTCTGCCCCCAGTTAGCTGATCTAGACTCTCCAGTTCCAAAGAGGACATAACCTGTTGTTAGTATCTGCTGGCCCTTCCTTCCTGTGGTGTGAAGCCACATCTCCATGAAAGGTGCAAGAGAATGAGTTTGGCAGCTGATGTGAGGGAAGGGCTGCAAGGGGAAGGCTGCTGCTTTGAGGTATGTGTGAGGTAGGCTGGTGTGATGGAGAGAAGCGGGGGTGGTTGTTGTAGGAGCTCTTGGAATGGAGAATGAGGTGGCTGCTTGAAGGGGATAACTACTGGGGGATGGAGGCTGGGGAAAAGGAACCAAGTCAAGGCACAGGAGTGTCTCACTCTGCTGGATGTGGTGAATATTGGACTGTTCTGGAGCATCCATGTGCCCATACACATCCCTTCCTTCAGGCCTTAACTGCAGCACAGAAATTCCAGCAGTTAATGTGTGAAATCAATGAGAAAACAAAGATTATTTTGGACTCTGGTGTGTATGGACTCCTCAGATGAGTGGGGTGAGGTTTGCTGTCCTTGGGGAACAGGTGACACCACCCCTCACAGGCACCTCATGCTGGCACATAGGCACACTCAACACCTCTGGCCTGCCTGTCTCCTTGCAGGGAAGCAGGTTGTCCCCAGGAAAGCAGAAATGTGGGCTCTCTTCAGGGTGCTGGTGGCCCCTGAGGAATATACCCTTCTCATGCATGGCTGCAGATCTTCTGGGTGGCCTGGTATCCCTCCAGAGAGATACCAAGCCATTCAGAGGGCAAATTTAGTTGAGATGCTGAGGAGATGCTCCCTGGCAGGCCGGGCTGACTCTCTTGGCATTAGTTCATCATGGAAAAGCCTGCAAACGATCCCCATCTCCTTGCAGATCCTATCACTGACCTCTTTTGGGTCACAGGAGGTAGGTTTTGTATATTTTTATCAGTCAATGGCTTCCTCCCAGCAGAACAGTGTTTTTTAAACACCATTTGTGCTCCTCTTAAAAAAAAAAGAAAAGGCTTTTGACCTTTTTAATAATAACTGAAATGTTTCAGTTCTCCCAATGATAAAATCATTACAAGTATTGAAAGGAAAACATTTATAACATGTTTTTTGATAAATGGATGCTCTTTTCCCCTCAGCAGTATAAGTTAGAAGAAAAAAAGCCCCACCTAACAAAAAAGAATTGATGACATAGACCTAATCTGAATCAACTTCGCAGAATAAGAGCATTAAAAATTAAAGAATGACAGAAATGGGACTCAAATTTCAGCTTTCAGGAACTGCCAACAGGAAGCAAAAAGCAACTATAGACATTAGGGTGAATGAGTATTTTTCTTTTAAGAGGTGCTTTTCAAAATGAATAAAAAAGAGAAAGAGAAAAAAGATCATAGACAGCAAAAGAATACAGCTTCCCTGTAGGAAATTATGTGCAGGTGGAGGCATGAAGAGGAAATGTGGAAGGTTTCACAGTGAAAATGACCTGTGTTGCCTTTTTCCATCAATGTACATGAAAAGAGCAAGTGTCATATGGCCTGAGAGCACAACACTTCAAATAATCACATCTTGCACCTCAGGGGTCTAGTGAACTTGTTGCACATTGTGGCATATATTTACCTTTCTTCTGTTCCCTATTTTTTCCCCTAACCCTTGAATTTATTTCTGTTGGTAGAGGAGATTTTAGAAGCTGTGAGTTCTTGTCTGTCCTTCATGGAAGAAACAAGTTAGAGGAAGATACTGTGTCTTGGGCTGAAGGAAGCTAAAATACTATGCAACTCCAGCCCTGTATTTCTTTGAAATACATGAAAAGGGAGCGTGTAACTCAGCCCATAAAGTTGTCAGGCAATCTATGGGATGGAAACCTCAGGAGTGAACAGAGGAAAGGGACTTGTGGGGCACGAATCATTGAACTATGTGAAACGCTGACAGCAGGAAGCAAAGCAGCATGCGAGCCACAAAAGCTTGTGTCCAGAGCCGATGCCAGGGGGGCTATTGGGTGTCAGGATGTTTTCTCGACTTCCCCCCAGACCAAATTTTGGAGGGGTTGTTGAAAAGGACGGAGGGTCACACGTGGCGTTCGCTTCTCGTATGCGGGACCGTATTTTAGGGTGGTAGTTAAGAACACACCCCTGCCAAGCTCCCAGATTACTGCTGAGCAATGTTTAGTTTACCAATTAACTGCTTTATTAAGGGTTCACACCAACTGTGGGATGAGGTTTAGGGAAAATGTACCAATGGCAAATGGCTCCCGGGGATGGATCAGGGAAGTAACGTGTCCTTCAGGGAGGTGAGGTTTACAAACTTCTGCTAATGCATCATTAATGCTCCAGATTAGTTCATGCAGGTACTGTAGGAAAAGAAGACCATAAAAACACTGCCCAGCTCATTCTGTGGCTGAACTTAGACCCATCACAGTCAGCGTGACAATAAGGAGTAGTTCTGTTGCAGTCCATTGGAGGACTGAAAAGGAAAGTACAGTCACTGCTTGTACAGTTAGAGGGAGTGTGTGTGTGTGTGTCCGTGGGTGGGTGTTCATCTCGGTAGCAGGGGTGACCCCCCAGCAGCAGCAGGAGGACTGGGCTGACAGCTATGGCAGGGTCTCGAAATCCGTGTTTTCGGGGGGCAGCCCCTCACGGCTCAGCAGTGATTTGGTTTTCTCAGCAACTGGCAGCAAAACGGGGAGAGGCTCCAGCCCCTACAGCTGCGGGAAGGACCCGGTGTTCCTGGGGTCAGAATCCCGGCACTCTCACCGTTCAGGCTCAGGCTGGATCCCCGGGGCAGGCAGGCAGAGTCCCGGCACCAGGCTCTGCAGCAGGGGGGTGTCCCACGCAGGAACGTCCGAGCAGACCTCAGTCCCACCGAACTCACTGCCTTGTTATACTCCCGTGACCTACCTGTCCAGTCAGTCTCACTGTCCAGAGCCAGTTGGCGTCCATGAGTCCCAAGTTAGGGTGGTAACTAGCAGGGGCAATTCATAACTTGTTGCCCATCCTTCCTGCCTTACATCACACCTACTGTTTTGCTTTTGTTTGTCCTTGAGCAGCCGGCCTGGTTTTGGTCCCTTAGCTGGGTATAATCAGCCTCTGCTGATTTAAAAGGCATTTTGTTTAGACTTATGTGGGGAAGAAGAAGAAGAACCATTTTCCACAGGTTGCATGTGTTCCTGAAATGCAAGTATTTCAAATAAAGTGAGACAGGGAGAAAAATCTCCTTCCAGGACCTTCTTTCAACAGGAGGAGGGCTGGTTTCCATCTCAACTTCAGAGATCTGAGTGAAAAGTGACTGAGAATGTCTTCGTTTGACCTTATTGTGCTCCGAAAGAGATTTATTGAGTGAGCTGCAGATTCTGAGAGGGATTGCTTTGATGACACAAAAACACCAAGACACTTCCCCTTATCAAATTGGAATCATTTAATGGCCATGGAAAAGAAACAGGCACTTTCAATGTGGTCCTAAAACAGGTCAGATCAATTCTCTAGTCCAGCTGCTTATGTATTTTCACCAAGAACAGATGGAGCTTAAATAAGTAAATAAAGGGTAGAGATCTTCACGGCAGATACTGAAGGGCAGGTGAGATAAACCTTCACCAGTACCTCAGAGTTTTTCAGTTCTGTAAACTATTGTCCACAGTTCCAGACCAGTGTTACCCTGCTCAGCACTGCAGGGTGTTAGGAGGACATAGTTATTGTGTCACGGGTTTCTCGTTCATCTTTGTCATCTTCTGAATCTTCAAAGGCCCTCTGGAATGCCAGCCTGAGGGCAAGCTTGATTCTCTTATCCTTGTAGCTCCCCACAAGGAAGTAGATGACAGGGTTGAGACTGCTGTTTACACAGGACAGCACAAAACCGATCTCTGGGGAGTAGAGAAATCGGTAGCCCAAGAAGTCCAAGAGGATCATGGTGCCCAGAGGCACAGCAAAAATGAGGAAGAAGAGGACAGTGAGCATGATGACGGTGAAGAGCCTGCCGGTTCGGAGGTGCTGGGTGCTGCACTTGACTCGAAGGAAGAGGGTGATGCTGAAGAGCAGCATGAGGGGCGTGCAGAAGAGGAAGTCCAAGGATCCAATGGTGATGAGCAGGAGGCGGCAGGTCCTGTCAGAGGGGCGAATGGTGCAGAAAACGTACCCGAGGGTGTTCAGCAGCAGGGAGAGCCCCCAGAGCAGGCTGGAGATGAGGCCAGACAAGTGCTTCGGGCGGTGGCTTCGGCACCAGATTGGAGAAAGGACAGAGAGGCACCTCTCAATGCTGATGGCAGTCAGGAGGTACAAGCCCGTCCCGTACATGAAAAGATCCAGGAAGAGGAATATCCCAAACTGCACCCCCACATTGAACTGCATCAGGTACTGCACCGTCTCGATGGCGATGCAGAGCAGGTACCCGAAGTCGGCGGCCGCCAGGTTCAGGATGTAGACCGTGAAGTGGTTCCTGCGGATGCGGAAGCCGAGGTACCACAGGACCAGCCCATTCCCCACCATCCCACAGGCAGCGCTGATCAGGCAGAAGCTCTCCATGAACTTGAGGACAGCGTAGGAGGGCTCTGCCTGCCCCACAGCCCCACTCTGGTTCATCCCGGGGGCCTGGCTGGCTGCAGTGGGAAGGAAGGCTGATGGGGTAGCCATGATGAGTGATTTCAGGCAGACCTGCAAGCAGAGAGGAGGGAGGTGGCAACTCTGGGGGTGACTTTTCCCTCAGGGTGACTTCGTGGAGTTTCTAGGTTTGTTCCAGCTCTTGGTAGCCAGATCTTGATTTAGGGAGGCACTGCTGTGCTTGGAGCACGTTGTGCAAAGCACTGAAAGGCCAAATTCAATACAACATGTAGGATAAATTAGATTGCAGTGCATTTCTCCCCTTGTAAAATGCACCTCTCCAGGGTCCTTTTTGCAGTTCAGTACCAGGAAACAAATGATCTTTAAAAATCAATTACAGCTTAGATTAATCGTGTCTGAAAAGTACCTCCTGTCTGAACAAAACGTGATCCCAGTGTTAACAACTCTGCTAGAACTTGTCTTTGCTTCACGTGGCTGGGATTAGGCGAGACAAATCTTGTCAAAAGTGTGTGGAAGTTCTAGGCAATCAACGTACAAGTCCCATCAGCATGAGAGAAAACAGGGCTGAGAGTACTGCAAAGAGCTGGTAGGTTTTGATGTTGATGGCTGATTTCTATTTTAATAAAGTGTAGTTTTGTGTGGTTGGTTTGTTCTCTTGAGCCCTATGTAGAGGAAATAGAGTCAGCCTGTAATAACTTCCTTCTCAGAAACTGCAAGAATCAGATGTGGGACAAAATGTCTGACCCTCACAGGGCATTGAATTCTGGCTCAAATAATTATTTCCTCCCTCATTAAGTTCCCCCCATTCCCTGAGGCAGTTCATCCTGGTTCTTCCTCCCCATTGCACTGGGATCTGAATTAAAATGTTAAGCACATTTTTAAGTTAAAAAAAGAACCCCACATAGATTTCACACCCTTTCTTTTGTCTGATGAGGTGAAGCAGCATGACTCTCCTCCTCTCTCCCCACCAGCTATTCATGTTGACATGAGAAGACAGATAAATATGATGAGATAGCAGGAGAGAGTTAAGCAGGAGAGAGTCAAGCAGGAGAGAGTTAAACAGGAGAGAGGAACAAGTCAAAACGGGGAGATCGAGGAGACGTGGCTCATTGAACAGTGTAACCAGCATGAATATTCTGTTTTGTCTTTGTAAGATGCTGCAGAACACACGGGGACAGACTTCCATAAACAAGCTAAATGTGACAGATTGAGTCATTCTTGTTTCATCTCAGCACCCCAGACACACTGTCTTCAGTGCTGCATGGATAGAGGCAAGATAAATGTCATTTACACTTTGCTGTTCTACCTGGCTTTCACCATTCAAAATGCCAAAATCCCATTTCATTTTGCCTTTAAAGCTGCCACGGGAATTAATGGAGGTTTCTGAGCACCTCCAGCAGGTGTCTTAGGTAGGTGTGCAGTCACCTGCCTGTCTTTGCTGACGCATTGCAGAGTGCACCTCCAGTGAGAGGATGAGTGTGTGGAAAGCTGAAGTCAGCTGAGGTGAATTCCACCCTTAACTTCACCAAAGTGATGTGAAAGGATGTGACATCTTTAGGGTTGACTGAAACCAGGGAACTTCTGGCACTGCACCATACTCTTATATAGGAAGCTGGATGATTCCATCCTCAGCTGTTACAGGACCCTAAGCACTTCTGACATGAAGACTTTAGAGACCAGTGGTCTTCCCTCTAAAGAAGGGACCACTGTTCTTTAGAGACCAAAGGTCTCTGAAGGAATTTTAGTGCATACTGAAACCATCATCTCCTTCAGAACGCAAAGGATCTGTGTTGCAGCACAATTTCACAACAGGAACATCCCTGAATTCAAACTTACCTTCTTCTTCCTTGTCTGGGGAGAGCAGCATCCTGCCTGACCAACATCACCTCCTCCCTGAACATCTGGAGCAAGCAAATTGCAAAGTTGCAGCTTTCTGACTTGGTTCACTCCCCAACTACCTGCTCGGGAGGTGTCAGCAGAATATCAGACCTTGATTTGCAGCAGAAAGCAGCTGCAGTAGCTCTAATTCTGTGAACCAAGCCTGGTGTGAGGAGAAAGGAAGACCCAGTAGTTCAGTGGTTTCCTAAACTTTAAAAGACCCAAGAAATTCTTCACCATGAGGGTAGGAAGGCACTGGAGTAGGTTGCCCAGGGAAGCTGTGGCTGCCCCCTCCCTGGAGGTGCTCAAAGCCAGGTTGGATGAAGCTTGTGTAGCCTGGTGTGGTGGGAGGTGTCCCTGCTCATAGCAGGGAGGTTGGATCCTGATGATCGTTAAGGTTCCTTCCAACCTTCACCACTCTATGATTCTATGATTCTGTGGTTCTGTGATTTTGTGATTCTTGTTACATCTATTTAACATGAAACAAATTTCCAATTCATTTGAAAACGCCATGAACATCTGAGTGTCACTTAAAGTCTGACACCTGCTGACCAGGTGTCCACTTTAGGAAAGTGGTTTTCCCACTTCCCAGCTGCAGTCATCTCCAGAAAGCAAGGTGCTTGCACCTCCTCCAGAAGTGTCTCTCTCTCCCATGGGCATTCAGGGAATGCCAGGTGACTACCTGTCTAACTTAAGCTTGCCAAACATATTTCCTAACAACACATTCATGTCTCCAAGACACATTCAAGATGTAACTCTACATCATTAACTAAACTAATTAAGACCTAATCTTCTACTGGTAGATCTCTGAACGATGGCATCTTCTATTCCAGATTTGTATCTAGAGCAATTCAACAGCACTTGCTCATGGAAAAGGCTCCCCAGAATGAAGCTCTCATCTGGAAAAGGCACGAGACAGATGGTTACCTACAGACAACTTCTAACCAGCAGGAGAAGAAAATGTTTGATCTCCTCTTCCTTCAGGTTTTATCTCTCCTCCCTTCTCCTCAGCATCTCTCCAAAAGCAGGGCAGAAAGCATTAGACAGAATGCAATGGCAAAGATACCACCTAGGAATTTCTCACCTTTTTGTGGGTTCCTTAGGATTTCAGGGACTGTTTTGCAGCAGCTGCCTGGTATGGATCTGCTGGGGAAAGTGGTCACCTGAATTCTGTGACATATGGTCCTGACAGAATCCTTGTGTCACACTGTAATGCTGGGGGATTCAGATGCTGTTTAAAAAGCCTTGGTCTCTTCAGTGTCACATCCCACAGGCAGCTTGCCACCCTCTTGAGGAAACAGCAAGTTTGGGGGGTGTGGTCACTTCGGTTTGAACTTCCCCCTTCCCTCTTTGTACAGAACTTGTCCCTGTCATGGTTCTGAAAATGTGTTTTTACTACTTCTCCCTTCTTCAGCCATCTCACAGTTCAAAGAAAACACAAACTGTTTGTGCAAAATTTCGCTTTGCCTCTTGCTCTGCTGCTTGGTTTTCTACTCGTGCATCTGAGATGCTCCATTTCCCAGGCCTTGAAGGGGATGCCTCACTGCTGCCCAGGGTCACAGGGACTGGGAAATTATCAGTCCTTTTCTATAACATCTGATGGTGATTTCACAACCTCCCTCAGCACAACTTCTCATTCTCCCGGGACCTGTTGTCCCTTCCAGACCAGCATTAACACACCCATCACCACTGAGTGTCCTCTTCTGACCCTCAGCCTCTTCCAACACAACTTATCACCCTACTTAGTCCTTATTGCTTCACACAACCTTTCCTAGAGGAGGGTCCACCCACAATTTGCTTCCTGGGCTGCAGGCTCACATTGTCAACCTTTCATCCAGCAGTACCCCCAGGTCCCTGTCTGCAGGGCTGCTCTCGATCATTGCATCCCCCAGTCTGTACTGATAGTGGGGTGCATGATTTTGCACTGGGCCTTGCTGAACTTCATGAGGTTCTCATAAACACACTCCTCAAGCCTAGCAAGGTCCCCTGGATGACATCCCTTCCCTCAAGGCCCTTGGAGTCATCTGCAAACTTGTCAAGGGTGCACTTGGTCCCACTCTCTATCTCACTTTTGAAGATACTCAGGATTATTGGTCCAAAGATGGACCTTTGAGGGACACCATTAGTTTCTGGTTTCTACTTGGACATTGAGCCATTGCCTGTAGCTCTTTGGATGTGGCCTTTGTCTGCCCTAAGTCATTTTGTTCAAAATCTAAATGTTGATTTCTGACCTAATCCCACCCCAAAATCAGGTCTGAGGTAGATCAGGTGAGTCAATTTTTGGAGAGCTTTTCCATGTTCTTTCCACAGAAGAGCCTCAAGTGAAAGCGACTCAACTCAGCTGACTTCCACGGGCAGTGAAGAGCTGACTTTCCTCCTTGGCTTTCCCCATTTGTGGCAGAGGATTTTTTAACTTACCCTGCAATGTGCTGACCCTTGCATACATGCAAGTTCCTGCAAGAAGCTTCGTTCACTGGGTTGCCAGTGATGAAATTTCATGCAAAATAGGACGTGAAGGGTCATCAGGAGCTACCCCAGGTCATCTATCCTTGAAACTCGGCTTCGTCATAACCACTACTGAGAGGAGTGTGCCCAACCTGCCCTTTCAAACACCACCAGGACAGGTAATTCTTTACCACCCCCAGAGCATGGCACCTCTCTCCTAACTACTAGAAATCTCTCTTGACTTTTTTCTTAAAGAAGATTTCTCTTATGCATGGTTTCTTTTTGGATGACAAGGATGTGAAGTGCTGCTTTCTTACTCACAATGCTAAGAGGCCAAAGCAGTGGATCTCATGGGCCCTTGGGAAAACCATGAAGCCTTGCTTGATGAAGGACTCTGGAAAGGGTTAAGTAGACTGAGTCACTGCTCATGCTTGTCCAGTTTTATATTCAGCTCATCCATTGGCTGTTGATTCTACTGGAGAAATCGTGAAATGCCTTAACCATCTCATTATCACTGACTGATGGTTATTTCTTTAAAATATGTTTACTTAAACTTCTCAGGCAGAACAGAACTGATTTATCTTCCTTTCCTTTCATGCCTTCCCTTCACTGAGGCTCCACACCTCCCTCCTCCAGCCCCAGGAGTCCATCAAGTGGGAGATCTCCTTGGAGAGGTTTACAGAGAGCTACTTAAGCAGTTTCCTTCTCAGCTTCTTTCTGCTGCTGGGGTGTGCACCCAACAACCAGCA